GGCTCAAGCTGTAAGAGAAAATTCCAATTAGTAAAGAAATTAATTTGAAAAATTACCTTGACGTTTCGATAGCTATTTTCTGCTATCGTTATCAAGAGAACCTGAATGAACCTAAAAAAGAGTATGTTAACAAATTGTGTAACAATAGTAGGATAATACAGTATATGAAAATTCGTTCTGATAATTCGTCTGTGCAAATTGTCAGTAATAATTTTGGTGTAAAACTAAAATAAAATAAAATTTCACCAAAATTATTGATTAACATTACCTTTATTAATTTAAACAATGAGATTAAGTCAAAGTCACATAACTGACAATTTGCACAGACAAATTATCAGAGCGAATTTTCATATAGGTACTTTTGATAACGATAGCAGAAAATACCTATCGAAAAGTCAAGGTAATTTTCGAAATTAATTTATTTACTAATCGGAATTTTCTCTTACAGCTTGAGCCTAAGTAGGATACCCTCTAGGTGATAGTTCTTGATTACTTTTTGATAAATAATTCGTTCTTATTGCGAAATAGGAGCACTATTTATTAATCTGTAATAAAAGACGTGAGGAAATTCTGTCTTTTTTAAAGACAAAAATTTTTGAGGTAAAATACCCAAAAAGAAGTTTGTAATAAAAAAATATTTGAGTTACACCGATTTAGGACAATTTGTACAAATTAACAAATAGAACAACTGCAACAAACATTTTACATATTTTTCTTTCAAATTAAACTCTTCTGCAGATGTTGCAATAACTTCGGACTGAACTTAACAAATGAAAAATACGTCAGACAACGATTTCGGTCTAGCATCAATGTTCTTAAAATCTGCCGCCTAATTTTATCAATAACTTGAAATGTGCATTCTTGACGAAGCGAATCAAAAGAACAGGAAATGTTCATCAATAATGTGGAAATGCTCAATAGCGTTATTTTATCGTGGCTGAAGTTAAATGCAAATAACTTGGCAAGAATGCGTTGTCTTGATACCATTGAAAATATTTGTGACTTTCCATTCACAAAACCGCTTTTGGAAATCGGTTAAAGTAAATAACTTTCTATATCCCTGACTTAAAACTACAATACTTTGTTTAAATATTCTAGTCTATAATACCAATTAAGATAAGGAAATCATGGAGGATAAAAAGTGTCAGCATTTATTTCGCTACGCACTTTCAATCTCAGTAGTCTTTATAGACATTATTTTTTTAAAGAATGCATTGTTTTGTTCTTAAATTAACAAATTCAGTTATTTTGCCATCCGTTAATTTCTGTAGCTTTCGAGATACCGCCCAAGCTCTTTATTATTCGGACACTCGGCAGTTAACTCATGCTTTGCAATATTTGCTACTTCGCAACGGCTTATAACTTTATCGACGTTAAAACTTCATTTTAGAGCGAACTGCATTACACTGCTTGAGCAGTTTGTACGTTCTTAATTAGTTGAAAAGTCGAAAAATTTTGCTCGAAAACGACCGAACGATATAATAAAACTTACTATTAAATTATTATTCTACAGAATTTAGTTTTTCATAGTAGATGCAAAAAGCCTTCCAAAACGTCTCTTGAAATGAAAATTTCATAAGGGGAACAAGCCGATTTTTTCAGAAAATACCAATTTTCTCAACATTTTTTTAATTCCAAATTATTTTCATGTTAAAGAAACGAATAATTCATAAAAACATACGCTCGTAATCGACAGGTTTGGCTCACTTTAAACGATTTATAAGCGTGCACGATGTTTAAAGGCTGAAATATTCCTTTTTATCGACGCAAACACTATATAAGTACTTACGCATATTTAAAATTTTGATTTTTACCGAAATTTTATTAATTGAATTATCGAACGCTACGTCACTTTCACGTGCAGGAAGAGATAATTGCAACGCTTCAGTTCGGACATTATCAGCATTTTTTGTGTGAGAGTGTTTAAAGGACAACATCGTGCTTATTATGGACCCAAACACTTACATACGCATATTGGGGGAGTTTCTTCGGTAGGAGAAAATCCAATGAGCTAAAAACCACGCATGTGAATTGTTGAGTTTTAACTGACATATGACATTAACTGAATACATTATTTTCATGAGTTAACTCGCGATCTTGTCCACCTCCACTGACCAGGACAGATGCTGAGTCCGCAATTCTTCACATTAAAACGATGCGCGAGAACCTTGTACAATTATCATTTTTCCATTCTTAACATGTACTTGTAACCAATATATTTATGTACCAAATTGTAGCTTTTGAAAACGGTCTCACCATATTCAAAGAGTTAACTCATGTGAAGGGAGCATGACATGCAACAAACTCATTGAAAACACGCTAGAAGCTTCAGATCCTAAAAAATCGACATTTTCTGCTCATTTTAAGCGATTCCTGAGTGTTCGCGATTTGCGAAGAAAGAATATTCCTTACTATAGAACCAGGCACTTTCTATACGCATATTGAAAAGGTTCTTAAATCGGAACTATCTAATCCAATGAGCTCAAAAAACACGTTTGTGAAATTTAGTTTTTTTACCGGAATTTTGATAAGGGGTTTCGAATTATACATCATTTTTATGTGAATGGAGCGAGAAATGAAACCAACGCATTAAAAAACAGGCTAGATCTTCAGATCCAACATAATTGACATTTTCGGCTGATTTTAAGCAGTTTCTGAGCGTTTACCATCTTTAAAAGACGAAATCTTCCTTATTATAGACCCAAACTCTTTATATCGGCATAGCGCGTAAAGCATTTTTTTATTCTGGTTTTATTTATTATAAAAAATAATTTTGATCAACATACAATCTTGTCTCTGCTTGTTGCCAAACTATATAACATAATTCTTCTTTTTATCTAATTTTCTGTGATTTGTATCTTGTCTGACTGCGATCTCTTTTAATTCTTTGCTAGCTGATTGGATCTAAACTTCTGTTCACATTCTCCTGTTAAACAGGAAAATAAATTATTTCAATTTTCTTGTACATGTTAAAAACTCATAAAACTTCAACTAAATGCTTGTCGAATGGCAGTAATATAAAACTAAACATGACATAATGGTCTGGCCGCCATCAACATGTTGTTTTTCCCCATTTTTATTGTTCTATGCGAGGTAATTGCCGATTAACATCATTCAAGTTACTCGCGAATTTTCATCCTACATTGCGGTAAGTGATTGTGGAATTAAATTCGCATCGAATGACTCACCAATTACATATTAAGGCTGTTGATTAGTACACAACCACTGATGACGTGTAGGTTGATATTTTAAATAGCCAGCAAGCCTTCGTTTTGGAGAAGGCGCCAATCACGAATCGTGATGTAATAACAATGATGCAAGCATGACTAAGATTTAATAGAAGCCATGAACAAAATTAAGTGTAGGATACATGAAAGAACTGTTAAGCTTGTCGGAAGCTGCAAACATTAACAAGTTATCTAAATTGAAAGACAAAAAACACAATAAATATTTTTTTCTCAACTTTACACATGAATACTAATTGTAGGTAAGTTCAATATGGTTGAGGAGGATTTATTTTTGAAGTCGGTAGGGGGTACCTTAGGTTTGCCTTTTGATAAATAATTCGTTCTTCATTGTGAAATAAGAGCACTCTTTATCAATTTGTATTAGAAGACGTTATAAAATTCTGTCTTCTTTTAAGCCAAAAATTTTGAGACAAACTCCCGGCAAAATGTTTTGAAAACATGAATCCGCCTTAGCCTTAGTCCTCATCTATAAATTAATAATCCAGTGTAAATCTCAGAAAAATTACTCTGGTTTCAACTGAAATGAGGATCCGGGCGCTGCTTGATAAAAAATATTACAACTTTTAGAATATTAATCACATTAATTTTTCAACTGATGCCGGAAAAAAGTGAATCTATGGACTGAGTCTGAAAAAATCCCACACACTTTAATAACTTAGGAACCTTTAACAGAAGTCTAATAAAACCAAAAGAGTTTTAAAGATGATTTTATTACGAGTAATCAAAAAATGAATTTTTTTATTTTTTTTGGAATCCTTTCCACCATCAACTTTATGGTAACTTTGTTCAATTTTC